AGAGAGTCTCGGGAAAACACCGCGAACCGAAATGAACGTCAGCCGCGTCGCGTGCATCCTCTCCTGGTTGTTGCTCTGCTTGACATCGCGCACCTTCGGTGAATACGGTAGGAGCGACTCGAGCAATTCGACCGCGTACAATACATATATATATATATATATATATAACCGCGGCCGCCGTGTTTCGAGCGCAAATCTGAAGTACCGAAGGCGTTAATCCCTTAAGGAATTAAGGATTAATTGGAATCCTGGCAGTGGAAAGCGGGAAATGTACGCGCGGCAGAATCCGAATCTTCGTTACGATTTCGACTCTATTTTGCGCTCCGAGCACGCTAGGTCCTGCGAATTGACAGCATACCCGGAATACTGCCCGGCAAATATTGTTCGAGTCGTTTTGTTCTTCGGTGTCGGCGGCTCGGCGGCGGCTAGAATCGAGGGAGATGTCGAATGGCGAGTCGAGCGACAGGTTGCCGGGGAACAACTTTGGCTCGTGCACCGACGGCAAATGCATAAAACGCACCACGCAGGAAATCACGAGCGGCATGTGGTTCGGCCCGCGCCTGGGAAGGAGACGTAGATCGGGCGAGAGACCGGAAGTCGGAAGCCCCGACGACATCGAGGCTCTGGCGAATGCCCTGGACGGAGCGCGCTGGACTCTCGTCAAGATTCCAGGTGAGTGACAGTATTTTCGTATTCTCTCACGCACGTCGCAGCTTATAGCGCGACGAGATTTCTCTCTCTCTCTCTCTCTCTCTCTCTCTCTCTGCTCGGAGGAGGATCTATCGAGCATCTATCGAGCGAGCGCGACGTGTACGTGTGCGAGTGTGAGTTTCAGCTAACGACAAGAGGCAACCGACTCAATTTACGCCGCGTCTGGGACGAGGTTCCAGCGAGGACCTCTTCTCCTACGCTCCTGGAGACGCGCTGGACAGAAGCGAGGAAAACGATCATCCGTCACCGCCGCTCTTTGCGCCGCGTCTAGGACGTCGGCTTCCTTGGGCACCGTCGCCGAGACTCGGCCGTCAATTGCGCAACGCGCTGCGAAAGATGTAGGGCGTGCCGTGACGCACGGCACCTCCAACGAACACCTCGACTCGAAAAGAACGAACGGCGATTGAAATTATAGCACAATTACGATACGGAACGAGAGAGAGAGAGAGAGAGAGAGAGAGAGAGAAAAAAAAGGAAAAGAAATAAAAGCTCTTGCGTCTATTTTTCTTTCTAAAACTAGCCGTTGCTCCTTTACCCGTTTCACCAGTTGTCGCTCACCTCTCATTCGTCTCATCTTGATCAATCGCGAGGACAGGCGAGATTAACTTAATGTCTGAACGGCTTATTTGAATTAGCGACGGGGATTTAAAAATATATTCAAACTGTGACGACTCGATCGGACTTCTCGTGTGACATTGTGTAATGTGTGGTGTCGTATCGATACATTTTTGCTTTTGCTTACATACATCTTCTCCATTTTATATTCTCCCGTTGATATAACTGTTAATCATTTCCTGCTGTGTAAGAACAAGATGAGAGCTAAGGAACAGAGTATAACTGTGTACGCATATATAGTTTTACATATTTTTCAAACGCGCACAAACATGCCCCAGGATATTCTCTCAATTCGTTATCGTTAACGTTACAATTGTGCTTGATGCTAATGTAAAATTTATAAAAAGTACGCGATAAAAAAATAATTATAAATGTGTGAGAGCTGTTTGTTTATACGCGGAGATGATATTATACGGAAAATGATTAACGCTATTTTCGGCCTCGAGAAGGGTTGAGAGAGAGAGAGAGAGGGGGGGGAGGGAGAGAGAGAGAGAGAGAGAGAGAGAGAGAGAGAGAGAGAGAGAGAGAGAGAGGAAGTGTGACGGCGGAGAGATAGAAGGGCAGGGTGCCGAACTACAGCTTGTAATTTCTCGACCGGAACTACCGCGAGCCATGTGGTAACATGGAAGATGGTCATAATCATAAAACTCAAAACTAGCAGATACAAGTTAGTCTCCGGTCTCTTTTATACAGCATAGTACACCGAGTATATCGAGAATCATTTGTAAAATCCTCTTGCGACAAAGGCCTGGGAATATCAATGTTTATCGTAGCGACGTGTGTCGAACCACCAGTTTTACAATTTCGAACGATGGCAAATATCTCAGGATGAACATTTCTCGAATAATAATAAAAATGTGGCTGCAAGGGTTAATTTACAGATAAGACAGCGATAAAAATCTAGAACAAAATTACGAGATCGATGTTTAAGATCAATCATTTCCAAACTTTCTTTCTGCTCAAATACCAATCTAATGATGGTATCGATTTCTTCGGGCTAATATATATATATATATATATATATACATATATATATATAACAAAATATACATATATATATAACAAAGAGTGGGAAGGGAGAAACGATACGTACCACCCCCCCCATTTCGCGAGATCGAGACAATTGTTGAAACATCGCTGTTGATGAATAAAGAAAAAAAGAGCAATTGCCCGTGCGGAGACGCTCTGTTGACGTTTGCGTTATGTTATAAATCAAGGCTTTGAATCCATATGATTCAAAGCGAATTCAATTTTCCATTCTACGAATAATTGTCTACGTTCAGGGACAAGAGAGACAATGGACAGATTTGTCAAAGATTTGACTTACACATCACAGATCACTCTAGTTGTATATTGAGGATTCGATTCTGCTCAACGTGCAACGTGCAATCAATCTTACGACGATCTGTACGATTCTATCGAGTCGCGTGCAAGCTTCATCGAAGTATGAACTAGTATGTAAGAAATATGAAATTTTGGTGGTGTCGCGATTCTTGGCGATAGCCAATAGCGATAAATTTACTTACCGAATTGCACTTACCAAATCGCCATCTGTTCAAACTTTCTCATTCACGTTCATTTTTGATTGAGATTGCGCGAGATTAACTGTGCCCAATTTACATTGAGTATACATACATATAAATAACGATTGGCGACAATTAATTGAGCCTGTTGCCACGTTATTACGATCGCTTTGCATTTATCACTGTTACACATCACATTTTACTAACAAAAGTTCCAATAATTTGCGTAGAAGCGGCACTTTGATTGACAAATTGACGCGACTACAAACTGGTTCAAACTGGTAACGTACCTTTAATTGGTATGATAGTTCTCATATCTAGATAGTTAGAATGGGGTAACTAGAATTTTCTATTATACAACAAACCTCTTCTAATTATCTCTCTCTCTCTCTCTCTCTCTCTCTTTCTCTTTCTTAACTGTTATTTTTTCAGAAATCGATTGATACAGTAAGCTAATTATAAACGTAACATCAATAGTAATCAGTAGCATTGTAGATATCGCGATATAATAAAATACAATATCGGTATATAGATGGGGTTGAATAATAACAGATATACATTTCTATGACAAGTTTAATAAAGTAGCTGGTCCCTCTCACACTTTGAAAAAATTATAGCAAATTATTTTCTCAGAAATATACAAATATATACGCACACATGTGTGTTGTATCTTTTATACATATCTCTAGAAATATAAGTTTATTTCAACTTTTTTTTTTCTATTTCGTACACAGGTACAAAAGTCCACTACTTTACAAATATGAACAATAAGAATGCATACTTGCACATATTTGCGATATATTACGTTTTCATATGTGTAAGTACATACATATACGAACATATATATATATATATACGTATGCATGATATATGGATATGTATGTACACACACACACATATATATATATATATTGCGTCAACCATCAGAAGCACTGTTTTCGTTCACTTGTTATTTGCTTAACGCTTCAATTTTATTTTGCAGCAGCTCTTCAAGCTTGTACGTATCCATGGCGAATTTGCGAATACCATTGGCCAATTGGTCAGTCGCCATTTCATCCTCGTTTAAAAGCCATCGAAATTCCGCTTCATCAAATTCCATTCTTTCAAACTCGGTCTTTTTTGCAGATTCCACGCTCAGAACTTTATCAACAGGCTTGTTACTCTTTTCCAATTCCTCCAGTAATTTCGGACTTATAGTGAGACAATCACAGCCGGCGAGTTCTTTGATTTGATCTAATTAATAATATTAAATTAAAAGAAGCCTCCTCCTCCCCCTCCTCCTGTACGTGGGCGCGCATGTGTCGGTAGCTCCAGGGTATATTCTTTGTAATATACATATTAATGTTATACATTTTCTTTTACTATTCTAATAGGATACTTGCCAACATTTCTGAACGAGGCACCCATGACGGTAGTCTTGTAGTCAAATTTCTTATAATAATTATAAACCCTTTTCACGAAGGCGACGCCTGGATCATCTTTCGCTTCGTAAAACTTTTTAGTCAAACCTTTTGTATACCTATAAAAAAGGATTTTATCTTTCATTCTTGTCTCGTAGAAATGTGATAATAAAAACTAAATTCAACTATTCACCAGTCGAGAATTCTACCGACAAACGGTGAAACGAGAGTGACTCCCGCATTCGCACAAGCAACAGCTTGCGCGAGAGAGAATAGCAGTGTCAGGTTACAGTGAATTTCATAATTTTCCTCCAATTCTCTAAAACGTTATTATCACTTATTATACATATTCATAGAGAAATAGATATTAGATATTGCAAAAATTTATGTATTACATTCCCCACTGAGATATTTATTACAAATATATCGTAGTGAAAACAGAAATAATTTTAGTTTCTATTGTAATTTTCTTTCCTTTACCTCGCCGCTTGGATACCTTCCCAAGTTGAAGCTAGCTTAATCAAGATTCGATCCTTACTCACGCCGTGTTCCTCGTACAGAGCGATCAATTGTCTTGCCTTCTCAATGCTAGCTTGCTTGTTAAAGGATAATCTGGCATCTACTTCTGTGGAAACTCTTCCAGGGATTATGTTCAAAATCTCTTTACCGAATAAGACGCAGGTGATATCAAGGGCTGCTTCGACCTGCTCCTCTAAAGTACTAGAAAGGAATCTCTACGTTGAATGACATATTAAAATAGACTGCGACTGTATTAGATCCGAAAGCCGAGACCAGCAAGGCAAGGGAAGGACAAATTTTGCGATAAAAGGGAATTTACCAATGTGATGTTGATATGAATATACAATCAATACAATGATAATCTAAATTCTCAACTTCAACTAGATGTATTTTAGGGAAAAATGTGACTGACAATGTCGCAATATTAATATAATTGATAGTTGAAAACGTTAAACTGCAAAATCCCAGCGTAGAGTGCTAGAGTGTAAGCGAATAAAGTGTGATTTTGCATTAACAGATATATCATGCGAGTACTCACGATCCGGACTTTTTACCATACTGAGCAGCCTTTTCAATTAAATATGCGTATTTCTCTTGATTAGCAACAGCAAGAATCAAGGTAGGATTTGTTGTTGCATCCATTGGCTTAAATTGGTCCATAACTAAACAAAACAAAACAAAAATAGCATTTTTCTCAATTATTTCTCATCAAATATGTCGACAAATTGTCGAAACTGCGTTTTCATTTTATCCGTGATAGAGGAGAGAGATAGAGAAAGAGATAAAATTCTACTCTTACAAGTAAAGGTATCCAACTGTCACTCACCGATTTTCATGAAACTTTGCCCACTTATAGAGCTATGGAAAATAATCGACACGTATTTTTTTTTTATCTGCGGAGAAGCAGTTTTAAGGGTGGAAACTATCCTTTATTTATATAGAGTGTTTTCGCGCGCTTAGAAGTGCTATCTTGTTGTTTATTCGAAAGGCTGAAAGGTTTCATGGGATTTTTGGAGTCGCTAAATTCGAATCTGACGTGTGAAAATTCAAAAATACAAAATGGCGGATCAAATATGGCATCTATGTCTCGTGAGTGGGACCATTTTTTCCATGTAAATTAAAATTATGTCGACGAAAATTACGATTTTTTTAGGTTTTCGAGATCGCTCAATGAACAGTGAAATATTGAAATATATGGAACATTTATTCTCAATAGATTCATTTAATGTTAGCTGAAATAACAGCAAATTTCATATAAGTTGCCTGAAGACATTTCATATGCACGCATAAAAACAATTAATGACAAACAGTAATACTAAAAATAGTGAAAACAATGTGATTTCCCCTATATATGTAAAAAATCGTAATTTTCGTCGACATCATTTTAATTTACATGGAAAAAATGGTCCCACTCACGAGACATAGACGTCATATTTGATCCGCCATTTTGTATTTTTGAATTTTCACACGTCAGATTCGAATTTAGCGACCCCAAAAATCCCATGAAACTTTTCAGCCTCTCGAATAAACAACAAGATAGCACTTCTAACGCGAAAACACTCTCTATATAAATAAGGGGTAGTTTCCACCCTTAAAACTGCTTCTCCGCAGATAAAAAAAAATACGTGTCGATTATTTTCTATAGCTCTACAAGTGGGCAAAGTTTCATCGAAATCGGTGAGTGACAGTTGGGTACCTTTACTTGTTAGAGTTTCTTCTCCGATTACACAGAGGTCAAAGTACTTCTGATATAATGGAATATTCATTTTAATCGCCTGCATAATGTGATAAATTTATGTTGATGTAATGTATATCATAACCGTCCGATTTTAAAATAATCTCTTGTAAAATAATAAAACATAATACACACATTCACGAAGAAAAATCACAAAAACCCAAGAACACGAATCAATTACTCTCATGCGTTGGTGTCATGGTGCGAACGTAGAATAAATGTATCGGTGCTGCGGTTAAGATAATTGTCGTCGCCATAAAAAAAGTGCAATAGAAAAAACAAATTTCTCACATAAGAGCAGAAAAAGTCATCCGACTGATCGGCACGAGCGCGCGTACGCGAAACAGCGGCCCCATATATTCAGGACACGCTTGTAAGCACTAGCTTAGCGCGCTGTTAATGAAAAGCCACGCAATATGCCCGGCGCACTAACATAGTTATAAGCATGTTCTGAATATGGATCAATGTGTTGTTTCCTCAAAATCATGACTCTGCAAGATGCAGCGTGCTTGTATGTGCACATATTCTTAAATCATGCGTGTGTTCTTGAATCAAGGAAATATAGTTGTAGTTTCAAGTATGGGACATTATTACGATACATTCTATAAAGGAGGTATTCTATCAAGCGCTTCTCTCAATTAATACTCGTGAAATTAATTTCGAGCGAGTCTTCACTTTTTACTTTACTCTTAATTCGAAATAAATAACTTTGTGAGAATAAAGCTCTGCCTTCTAAAAGCATGCAATTGCTACTTGCGAATTCAACGACAAACAATTGATTCGCAAAATAATTGGTTCGATCTTTGTATGAATGATACATAAGAATAGCTGACAGTGATGAATATCATAAGAAAAAGAAAAAGACGAGTAACAGAGCTACGCTCTGTCTCTTCTCTTCCCCCGCCTCATCTCATCCATGTTATTGAATGACGTTTGTCTACCGTCACCTTCATCTTTGACCTAACATGAGTTACATCTTTACCTTCAAAATCACCAGTGTCGGCGACCACCATAGTATGCTCCTTCAGCTGTTTCAACGAAGTGGTCTTCGCTTTCTTTGCCAGTAGTAACTCGCTCATTATTGCTCAGGATACTTATACACACACGGAAGATGCAAACTTACACTTCTCACTCACGCGACGTGCCGTCAGGGCGTCCAACCGGTGCTGCGAGATCGGGAGAATTTCCCACGCTACAGCGCATGCTTGAAGTGACGTGGCTACATATATCTCAGTGAGTCAAAACCCACTGACGGTTTAAAGCGCATGACAGAGGATCCATGGAGGATCCTTTCTATTCTCCCTATAATCCTTCCTTCATATTTTCTCTCAGACGAAGGATCCTACGCCCGACTATAGATTGAAAATTACAAGTGGACCAACTTAAATAACCAAGATTTAAGCCAGCGGTACACGGTGCTTGTTTTCGTGCTGGATTGCTTGCTGGATGAAAATATTGCGTTCTGATTAGTGCATTTCCATCCATCTTCAGAAATGTACCAATCAGAATGCAGTGTTTTCGTCCAACGAGCAATCCAGCACGAAAACAAGCACCGTATGCCGCTGGCTTTAGATTATCTGATTTATCCGATTGCAATTTTCAATACATAGTATCATACGGGCGTTAAAATACCTTTAAATTAATACGGCACTGAGACTTCCACAGCGTTTACTCAATACGCATGCCTAGAGATTCTCCTCGATCTCGCAGCATTGGTCCAAACTCCCTCTTGTAAAAATTGGACGCAGTTTTCAGTGCCCTCTGCGACTGACCCTGGATACGGCTGAACTAAACGGGTGACGTCATGTGGAGTGGGGATGGGCGCCAATTGAAATATGAATTGGCGCGTACAGGGGCCCTATTCTTGAACTACTTGCGTATACGTAAAGCCCTCTGCCAGGCATGCCAGGCAACAGGCAATAAGAATAAAAATAGACCAATCACAATCGACTATTACAAGAATAATCTATTGTGATTGGTCTACTTTTATTCTTATTGCCTGTTGTCTGGCATTGTGCAAGAGGCTTAAGTGGCAAGTTTCGACTTGCAATCGCAATGGAAAATCCCTAGAACCTTGTATTCTTGACAGTCGCAAGTGAAAACGTGAATACGCAAATTATCATTCGCAATGCAACGAATGGGTAATACCATCCGTTTCTCTAGAAACGTATGTGATACGTTATGCAAAGTACAGAAAGTGGAGTATAAGAGTACACATAGAAGCACACTGTTATTAAGAAGAAGAATAATTCAATAGCTAAAGGCCATTGCACGTAAAAAAATTTTAGTCGTAACCGTAAGACCGTAAGCAAATTGACCAATCACAATCCAGCATCTCGAGATATACGAATTGTGATTGGTCAATTTGCTTACGGACTTACGGTTACGACTAAAACTTTTGTACGCGCAATGGCCTTAAGACGGCTAAAAGAGTGGAAAATAATAGCTGACTTTACATATCCGTAAGAGAAATAACAAATACGAAATTTAAGAGAAAATAGCATATAAATTTCACTGCATTTTAATTATAGAGTAAAATTGTGTAATTGTGTAATAATGGATTTAGACGATATAATAGTAAACATACCGGTTATAAATGCGTTAGAACATGCTGAAATAATGGAAGAACCAAAAAAGATTTTTCCATACTAGTTCCATATTGGTTCCATATTTTTCACTATGTTCTGCTGAACGCAGCCAATTAAAGTTCGTCGTATTGTATTTTTGGTCGATATTTGCAGAAAGTACATATGCTTTCCAATGTTGTCAAACGTAATTAAACGCAACGGAAAGCGTATACGTTTCTAGTTGCGAATACTACACAATTAAGTTCAAGAATACCGTGTCAGAAACGTATGCGTATTTTTACTATTCGCAACGTGCGTATACGTAAAGTTGCGTATAGATTCAAGAATAGGGCCCCTAGACTGCGTATTCGAGGAGTGGGGGTATAACTCTCGTGGAAAAGGAAGCACTCTGTTTTTACTGCTCGTTCTTTCTCGCACAGTCCCGATAGAAGGGACATAGGGGAGGCAGTTGCTGTACAGTGCTGTACAGTAACAACCTCCTTCTTTCATGATGGATCCCCCTTCGGCGCGTTGCAAAACCGTGATCAAGCGCCCGGGGGCAGCCAAAATATGGCGTCGACCCCGGGGCTTATTTCTATGATTTGCACCGGATAAGGAGGGGCAACGGTGGAGGCCGGCATACATGGACAACAGGTCTTAAAGAATAGCAACCTTTGACTTTGAGAGACCACCAGCTTGTATCACAGACAATCCACAGCTCCAATCACAGACAATAATCACTAAGCGCTCTCTGATCACTTTGTTCTACTGAACGCGGCCAATGTTACTTGTACCTAGTGGTACAAGCTGGTGGTCTCTCAAAGTCAAAGGTTGCTACCCTTTAAGACCTGCTGTCCACCTGCTGCCGTATGCCGGCCTCCACCGTTGCTCCTCCTTATCCGGTGCAAATCATAGAAATAAGCCCCGGGGTCGACGCCATATTTTGGCTGCCCCCGGGCGCTTAGACACGTTTTTGCAACGCGTCGAAGGGGGATCCACCATGAAAGAAGGATAGAAGGATAGAAGAGGTATAGGGGGAGGCAGTTGCTGTACAGTGCTGTACAGTAACAACCGTCCCTATTCCCCTTCCATCCGGACTATGCGAGAGAGAACGAACAGTAAAAACAGAGACGTCGTTGAAGTTTGGAGCGTTTTTCGAGCGAAAATTGAAAATAGCCTTTATTTAGAAAAAAAAAAACCACTTAATATAAATGTAAATACATATAAAGGATAAATTTGTGTTAAATATGACATGACATTATAAGAAAGTTATTCTTCCCGAAAATTACGCACATATAATCATTCATACAGATTATAATTATTTCCGGAACTCACAGCGCTCTGTGCCAAACACTCACAATGCATTTTCACTCTCTGGCATGTAGGAAAATAGAAAAAAATTAGTTTAACAGCAATAACGTCCCGGAACACTTTCGTTCTCCCCGAAAATGGTCTGCATATCACCAAACTCAGACAGATTATAGTTACTTCCGGCACTCACAGCGATCTGTGCCAAAATCTGACAATGCATTCTCACTCTCTGGCATGTGGGAAAATAGAAAAAAATTAGTTTAACAGCAATATCGTCCCGGTGCACTTTCGTTCTACCCGAAAATTGTGTGCATACCACCAAACTCAGACAGATTATAGTTACTTCCGGCACTCACAGCGCTCTGTGCCAAAAACTGTTGAGTCTGCTGAATGCAGCCATTGGCTGCATTTAGCAGACCAGTGATACCCATGCTGAACGCGGCCAATGATACCCATGATAGACATGTCACATTAATCCTTCAGTATGGTAAAGTATTCGTTGCAATATATTTACAAAATTTATTATTTGATACTTTATAGATGTGTATATATATATATATATATATTTTAGAAACAATGAAAGTGTGGATATTGTGTTTAGTGTTCAAAACAGAACCAAGTTGCAGAGTACTCCTGTTTTGCAAACGTAGATTTATTATTTTATTATAGACAGGGAAATACTTCTATAGCAGGTGAAATAAACATTTGTAACATGTTGCATAGAATTGTGTGTATAGATTCTTTGTTACTAAATATAATTATTGCAGAAAATGGATACTTAACCATGCTGATAGATTGATGTAACACGTTTATCGTAGGTTACGTATTACGCGCGAGTTCTATTCAATTCTGAAGATATTTCTCATGTAAAACTTACCTATATGAATGACAACGGAATGGAATTACTGTGATTGGTTAACCCCCACCATTTTGCCTTTTCCGCCAATCTAGGTTCTTGGCTCGAACATACAAGGGCAAGTTTTGTGATTGGCTAATAGAGCTTGGTGACGTTATTAATCGGTCCCGAGTAGGTTAAAATTCATGTCTCGTACACGCCATTAGAAACGGTTGATCAGCCGTCGAATGTTTTACACACGTGCGTACATAACACGCGCGTGCATGTATACACGCATACGCACTGAACTTATCGATTAAAATCGAAGTTACAGAAACAATATACTAATGTAAAAATCATGTTTATTAAAATTTATGTAAATTAAGTACATAGAATATATACGTACGTGTTAACTAATTGTCAGTGTGCGTATAACTTACTGGCCTATTAATACATTGTAAATGAATATATAAGACACATACGTGCATACACACGCGCGTGCGCGCGCGTGCGCACGCACACACCACACACACGCGCGCGCGCGCACACACCACACACACACACACGCAATGCTGTTACTATATAAAAATAAAATCAAACATCGTTTATATTTACATCGTTTACAACAAATGGAATTGCTGATGCATAATTTCACTTCAATCTAATTTCTCTTTCTCTTCCACTCCCCTTTCTCTCTTTCCCTATACGCTTTATTTTTTGGAGTACCTTGGTATCATCATAAGATAGCTGACAAACAGCCAAATCGTGGATATAAAAACATGACTGGACTTTTGATTCTTTCGTATATACAATTTCATAATTTGGTTATTATATACCATGATTGCAAGCAATTTTATCGATGTTCCACGGAACAAGTAGTATCTGTTAAACGATTAATCCAGTCGAGTTATTTACAATCCGATTTACTTTCCTTGGTTCTATTAGATTTCATCACTTTAACAAAGCTTTAAATATCACCAATTTGATAGCAATTAACGGAAAAAATCGAAGAAAATCGATCGCTGTTTGAACTATCGTACAACTCATTATTGTATCGAAAATCGTATCGTTTTGCATTTCCACTATCATCAGACTTTACTAGCAGGCGTATGCTTATCGAGGGATACTGTTTTCGGTTGATGGCCATACAAGAAAATCGAACAAATGACGAGAAACGCACCTAAAGCAAATTGGAACGTTAAGCGAAAGTCGAACAGGTAGATGGAAGCTATGCAAGAGATGATAATGGCTAGTGATGTGGCAAAACCTTTTAATATGTTGTCGGCATATTTGACCACCATGGCTACTATTAATCCTCCGCCTGCTTGCAAGACAACCAAGTAGCAAATGAACAGATCATAGCCGAAGAAAAAGCCTTGCTTGCGTATGATATCACCGTCTTGTAAGAAGCATGTACCTAGGCCGAACGGTATGGATAACACACTCAACTGCACGTTTCGCATCCACACGGAAATATCGGAGCCTTTTAATATCTTTTCAAAGTAAATACCGGCGAAACCGGACAGGAAGCATGCACTTAGTGCGGCCGAGAAACCTATCAAGTGATTTTGTTCTATGCCCGAGGGTACCGGTGCTTTTATGCTTTGTGCCAATTGAACCAGAACCACACCGATTACCAAGAGCACCAAAGCACCCCATTGAACGGTACGCAGTGATTTGCGCAGTATTGTTACCGCAAAGAAGGCTGTTGTTAAAATCTTCAATTGATATGTGACCTGAAAAGGAATATTTATTATTATTTTAAAGCTCTATGTACATGTTACTTTATATATATTTTGTTCACTATGCGGCGATTGTATCTTTTCTCAAAAAGCTTTTTATACACATATTTCGAGTATGTATACAAGATATATGCTTTACTTGATGCGTAGCTGCATCCAGATTGGACGCGGATACATAAAGTAGATTGTTCTGTACGATGTACAAAAGGGATGGCACACAGACTTTCAGAGTATCTATGGGTTGCTTCACGATTGTTAGATGCAGAGCCTTATAAAATTTTTCCATGTTACCTTCTTCGATGAATACTAGCACCAAGCATGTAAACAGCTTGACTACTTCAGCCATCACAACAGCTACAACAAGGAAATGTCACTATTTATATGTGATACGTATAAGCGAATTGCCTATGGTAGTGTATATAGAATAGATGGGACAGATTATATTATGGGATGACTGTATCGTATACAACGTTGTTTGGCGATATTACCAGTGGAAGAAAGGAACATGTCACCAGCCCTGGTACGTGAATATCGCATGCTAAGGCCAACCATTGCATTTTGAAGCGTGAGTGTGATTAAGCTCACATACTTGAGTGTTTGTCCAGACTCTGTAACATGAACATTTTAACATATATCTATATTTACGTAATTACTATTCATATATCTACTAACATACATATCGATAATATCACTCACTTTGCAAGTTCTTATTCATGTTTACGATAAGGTTTTAAGTTTGGTGAAATAACTTGTAAATTCTTCTTCATAAACTACATTTTTCCTAGAACTAACAAATCCATCGTCACTTGAAAGGATATTAGACGGTTTGTAGTGTAACAAGCAATATAAGTATAAGCAATATCCTAACAGTATTATTCTGAAATTATTGAGATAGAAATTGCTTCTTGAGAACAAGAGCATTATTATTTCGCACATATTAGTTAAGCGTATGTAAATTAATAATAAATAAATTTGGCCAATTTTTAAATTAATTATTAGTTGCACAACTTGCAGGGATTTTTTAATAAATTTAAATAATCTTCAAGAAATGTGTGCGAAAGGCATACAATGCGTTCAATGAGAAGAAAGGGAGATAAAAAGAATTCTGTGCGAGAGATAATTACTTTTTCCGGTAAGTTTGACACGTTACAGTGTACACGTTGAACATTTACACGACGCAAGAATGCCTAGCCATTTTTTTGTCGACGTCATCATCAATTGCTATTTATTAATCGTGTCCGTCATTATTGATATCTTCATCTAATTAAACATACGATAATACACGACACTTTCTCCAATGAATTGTTTATAAGAGTTTCTTACGATGCGGTATGCAGGCTTAGGGCTAGAGCATAGACTTCCGCATAACGCATAATACACAACGCATAAGAGAATCAACCAATCAGAGTTCTTCATTTCTATCCTGAGGAGGGAAATGAAAAAAACTAATTGGTTTATTCTCTCAAGGCTCGTCTACAATAGCTGTAAGAGTAAGGCTGTAAGGCTGTAACGTAAGCTGTCAGCGAATGAAAATATTTCATTTCATGTCTTGCAACCTTACAGCTTTAAGCTAAGACTCCATGCATGCGGTGAGCTCCGGCAAACGGCTGCGGTGACCAATCAGGAGACAGACGCATGCCGGAGCTTGCCGCAACCGGACTTGCGCCTCCCTCCTGATTGGTCACCACAACCGTTTGCCGCAGCTCACTGCATGCATGGAGTCTTAGCTTTAAGCTTACTCTTACAGCTAATGTAGACGAGCCTTTAGAGTGTGTGCTTCCCGCTGCAGCCTTTCTCGAGGCGAAAATGTAGTTAGCTAAACACCCTAGGAAACAAACTCTCCTATTGGAGCGTCTTGTTTCATACTGTGCGTGCGCACAGGTGAATCCTCCATTCACGAAAAGTCCACTCAATAGCCACTCTGTAAATAAAATTTTTCGGCGGAGTGACTTGAATAGCGGTGACGAGCGAAAACGCAGAATTGCGAGGTGTTTGCGTGAGTTGTCGTACGTGTCTGACGGAGCGAAATCACTTGGTGTTGAAAATAGAAAAGGTAACACGATAGTGTTGAAGCAGAGCAATCTCGATCGCTGCATAATACTCCATCCTCCGTAATCATCGGTGTGTGAGTCCGTTTGATATTCTTTGCTTGAATTCGTTGTTACTCTTTGCCGAGACAGAGCCGTTGATACAGTGCGTCTCTTATAAAATTGAATACGGTCTCCACGTGCCATTAAATGTACGAAAAAACAATGTGTATTTTTAAAATGTTGCTTGGACGTGTAGACATGCGTACATTTTGTTACATACAATTCACGATTCTGACTGTTATTTTCGTTAAACTTGCAAGGAGTAGGATTAACAGATTGAGGTTCTGTCGCAGGCATCAAGATGGACGTGCCTATGTTTACTGAGAAAGTTGCGCAACAGCTGAAAACATTTGCTCGACAGTGCATGGATAATCCATCTCTTTTACACGACCCAAAACTATCCTTCATCAAAGAGTTAATAGAGCACTATGGTGGCAAAATACCCGAAAGCGACAAAAGCGATGACCCGACGGTTAACAAATGTGGGGCTGAGAGTAAATTTGAAGAGCCTCAGCCTGAAGTTGAACCTGAACCTGAACCTGAACCTGAACCTGAACCTGAACCTGAACCTGAACCTGAGAGCGAAGAGAGCGATCTGGAATTGGACATGACTGGCGTAATTGGTTTGTATACTCATTTTTGTCGTTATATGCACCTATATGTGTTTAATACTATTCAATAACATATAATAAATATATAACTGTAACATGCTCAAGTTTCCTTTTCCACTAGAACCAGATCAAGACCCTCCTCAAAAAATGGGTAATCTGACTTTGCAACCTACGGAAGAGGAAATTGCAGAATCACAGGCCAAGAGATCCGAGGCAGTGTCCGCATTTATGGAAAAAGATTATGAAAAGGCCGTACAACTTTATACAGAAGCAATTGTATTGAATCCACAGGCAGCATTGCTGTATGCTAAACGCGGACAAATTTTTCTCCTTTTAAACAAGCCAAACGCCTGCATTCGCGATTGCGAACGCGCCATCGAGTTAAACCCGGATAGTGCAGCGGCTCACAAATTTAGAGGAAGGGCTTATCATTTGCTTGGAAAGTTTGAGGAAGCGGCAACCGATCTCAGATTAGCTTGTAAGTTTGATTTTGACGAACAGGCCGACGAGTGGCTGCGCGAGACAACACCAAACGTAAGTATTGCTATTTTTGTTTTGTACGAGAGATGTCGTGTTTTGCACGAGAGATGCACTTGCTTGCTTTGCACTTTGTGGACTTGCATTTTGCACTCTGCATTTGCACTTTGCAATATCCATTTCTTTAAGATAAAACAGCTAAAAGATAATAAACATTTAATTAAACTTTCTTGAGGTATTTTAACAAAGCTATATTTCTTCTCTCTTCCTGATTTGATAATAATCTATAAAATTCTATAAAACAATAGTAACGAAAATGTCCTAAATATTACGATAGTATATCCGGATTACTGTCGCATAACAGTAAAATAAATCTTAATATGAATGTGAATATACATTGCTCGTAAACAATGTACTTTGATGTTCATACAACTTTAACAAGCGACTTGTGTTGCTTTATATACCGGGTTGTCTTTTTAGCAAGAATCGTTTGTGCCAAGATATTGATGTTTATACTACTTTTTTTGCTTGTTGAATTTGCTTGTTGATTTAAAACATGTTTGTACATATTTACTGTATGGATAAGTGAATAATGGGTTATATTTGAGTTATATATTTATATGTGAGTGTGTGTTATGAAATGATACTATATCCACATAAACAGCAATCATTATCACACGATCTTATTTCAAACGTGCCTAAATAGTATATTTAAGATTATATTAATTTCGCGTAAATTCTCTCTTTTCCTCTCTCTCTCTCTCTCTCTCTCTCTCTCTCTCTCTCTCTCTCTCTCTCTCTCTCTCTCTCTCTCTCTCTCTCTCTCTCTCTCTCTCTCTCTCTCTTCTCTCTCTCTCTCTCTCTCTCTCTCTCTCTCTCTCTCTCTCTCTCTCTCTCTCTCTCTCTCTCTCTCTCTCTCTCTCTCTCTCTCTCTCTCTCTCTCTCTCTCTCTCTCTCTCTCTCTCTCTCTCTCTCTCTCTCTCTCTCTCTCTCTCTCTCTCTCTCTCTCTCTCTCTCTCTCTCTCTCTCTCTCTCTCTCTCTCTCTCTCTCTCTCTCTCTCTCTCTCTCTCTCTCTCTCTCTCTCTCTCTCTCTCTCTCTCTCTCTCTCTCTCTCTCTCTTCTCTCTCTCTCTCTCTCTCTCTCTTCTCTCTCTCTCTCTCTCTCTCTCTCTCTCTCTCTCTTTCTCTCTCCTCTCTCTCTCTCTCTCTCTCTCTCTCTCTCTCTCTCTCTCTCTCTCTCTCTCCTCTCTCTCTCTCTCTCTCTCTCTCTCTCTCTCTCTCTCTCTCTCTCTCTCTCTCTCTCCTCTCTCTCTCTCCTCTCTCTCTCTCTCTCTCTCTCTCTCTCTCTCTCTCTCTCTCTCTCTCTCTCTCTCTCTCTCGCGCGCGCGCGCGCGCCCCTCCTCTCTCTTGTCCTCTCCTCTCCTTTCTTCTCTCTTCTCTCTTCCTCCTCTTTCCCACCTCTTTTTTGCTTTCTCCAATTTCTTCTCCTGCTCCCCTTCCCTCTCCTTTTCTCTTTCCCTATTTCTAAAATTTAAAGGTACATCGTTTGCCGATATATTAAATGAAATCTTATTCTAACCAACGAGATACAGCCTCAGTAACACATATTTGTAACAATACTAAGTTTACTCTACGTAATCCTTGTATATAATAATGTAGAATAACAATGGTGATAGTAGCAACAATAGCGCAATAACAGTAGTAATATTAACAATACACGCGTTTGAATATGAATGAATCGTGCATCACTTTTATGATTTTACGTAAATGATAAAGTTTTCTCGATTGTTCAATTGCAATCCAAGATGCAAGTTGATTAAAGCAGCTCCATTTATTTATTTACGTGTCCGCTGTGAAACGTAATGCGCATGATACGAACACGGGTAACAGAGTCGTTAGGAATTGGAAATCAAAGAAAAAATATATCGCGAGAGCCCGTGGTGATTTAAGAATTTTTAAATAACTGACGACATCCAAGGATCTCGTAATTGTAAAAAGTCATTGGGCATTTAAGACATGGAGAAACAAAGATCTCTAAAGTATTTACGAATCTTATAATATAATTATGTAAATTGATATAAATTATGTATATTTCGAGTCTCTAAAAGTGTAGGAAACGCGTGTTCCGCCTACCGCAAATTTGAAGCAAGTCCAAATCTTAGATCAAAAGAGCTCCACGATTTGTCTCACACACACGCACACGTCACCGCATTAGCAATGCATGAGAAATCAGCACATCTCTGTTATAATTGTTCAATTACAGTTTAATAAGAACACAATCAGTTTATATGTGTGTGTGTGTACATATATATACATATATATATATACATATATATATATACATATATATATATATATATATATGTATATATATATATATATATGTGTATATATATATATATATATATACACACACACATACACACATATCTATATATAAGGTATTCCACAAAAGCCACAAAGAGAGAGATCACTTTATCTCTTTCGCAATGGAAATATTTCGATACAGTGATTAGAAACAATGTTCCTAATATGAAGGAACTTGGCGGACGAAATTGTTGCAGTTGTTCATTACGCAGTTCATATGCAGTTCAACATTACGTTGTTTCTGGAGAGTCTGTTTTCCTTTGAGATGGGCTTTCAGCAGGCACCGATTCGTCGCGAGATGAATAAACTGAAGGATTTGATGCAACAATGATATCATCCGTCATTTTCTCTAGAAATTTCATAACTTTTCAAGTTGAATACGATACGCACACGCGCATGCATACACCACCGTATATGTATGTGTGTACGTATATTTATCATAATTATTAATTCAATTTGAACAAAGTTTCTTAAATTCACAATAAGTTTAACGTGAAATCTCAACGGGACAATCTCTGGAATTAAAAATGAGGTTTTCCGAAGTAAAAATTGGTCAGATTAAAATCTGACATATTGAAAGGTAATGAAATTTAAATGGTAAAATGATTCTCTCTTCAAATTGAGAAGATTAAAATTCCATCATTTTCAGTGAATTTATGTAAAAACGAATTTGCGACATTTTTGTTGCACCGTGAATCCTCGCGTTCTCGCTGAGAGGAACCGATATCTGAACACTGATATTCGAAAGGAACTCTCACTGTCCGCTTTTGGATCGGAATGGTAGCACTCGCATTGTTTACCAGACAAGCAACACTTGCTCTTCTCTGCAATCGAGGAGGAGGAGGAGGAGGAGGAGGAGGAGGAGGAGGAGGGGGTGGGAGGGGGGAGGAGGAGGAGGAGGAGAAGAAGAAGAAGAAGAAGGAGGAGTTGTATCCACTGACATTTGACAAGATGTACACTCGTCGATCTTTGCGTGTTCTGTCCCCCTATTATGAGGCAGACGAGGCTAAGCTATTCGGATTTATAGATACTTGGCGTTAAGCTCGCTATCCTCCTGATAGATGAGCGGTATGAGCGGTATCCCAGCTCTTGCATTTCGGGACTGCTTCCTGCTCTTCCCCGCTCCGCCTTCTCTCTTTCCTTTTTGTGATCGTCAGAGCTCCTTTCGCAGATTCACCGCTTGTCCTCGTTTCGAGGAGCGCCTCGAATAGGATAGCGCAAGGATAGCGCGCGATCCAATTTCTCCGAGATTTCCAAAAGAAGAGAAAGTCCTCGGTACCATCTCAAATATCGGACCATTTTCGCCGTGCTCTGGCTCGGCTTCAACGAGTCGCTCTTGATCTTTGCGCTACCAAGGCACATTTCGGAGTCGGTTAGGCCTCACGTCAGTCCGTATTTCACATGGTATCAAGAGCTATTCTATTCTATTCCGTACTACGGACTCGCACTCAACTCGCAGGACTGTTAACCTCGCTCTCGTGCAGCACCGCTTCCACCGACTTTTTATACTTGCCCACCAGTTCGGGTAGATCGTAGGCGATAGCTACGTCGAGCCTGTTGATCGGGCAGCCCCGGAAGTACGTGCACGTGGAGCTCAATAGTGGGAAGTCGTAGAGCGGATTCAATCGGAAGAAGTCACGATAAACATCCGGATCGGGTAGATCGTATCGCGATATGTTGGTCAGAGTGCTGAGACCCTCGTAGATGTGATAATCCTGCGGATTTTCGATAATTTTGTCGCTGATTTGCCGCTTGTCGCCGAAGAATGTCTTGTGATTGTAGTACGTCGTCAGGTAGCAGTCCACCATCTTCGCGTGGTTGCGCACTCGTACCTGTTGAAATTGACAAAATCGTCATCGTGATTGCAAAACAAAATCGCGGCAAGTGCATCGTGTCGACGATGTAGTTGCCGATTTCTCATTTCAATTTCAATCATTCGAACAATCGCTGAGTCTGCGCGTGTAATTGCGATCAGATGGATCGCCGACTCGACTCACGTCCGCTCGCGTGAGTGACGAGTGAACGGACGGACGGACTTACGGCAAATCTTCTGGCGCTCGCTATCTTGTGCTCAACCCTCTTGTTTATCGCGGAGCGTAGATCGCGCAGGAATGCGCGTTCCTGAGCGTACAGCAGTCTGGTAGGCGCACCGGCTTCGTAGGGCAACGACCACAAAGATGCGGAGTACATTATCGGCGGCTCCGCGCTCGACATCAGCGGCGATATATTCCATATTAATGCGCCTTGCACTCTCATCAGTTCCTCCGGTTTTACCTGGTCCGCCTTGTTGAGAATGATGCGGGTCTATCGGCCGATTTGTACATTTGTAACATCGTTGTTCGTTATCATCTATCGTTATCACCTATCACAATCACTCATCAAACGTAACTCCGAAACGTTCGTTGTCGCTCGTTCGCGCGCGGCGAGTCCCACGGGCGAGCCACATTGCCACATTAACGACACCACATTGACGAAATAACGATAATGAGATAATCTCCGTCACGCCGGGTATTCTCATTCTCTCACCTGATATTCCCTTCCCTTCAACTGGTCCAGAATCGCCTCGGTCTCGGGTCCGACGTCCAGTTTGGCGGGGTCGTAAACCAAAAATATTATGTCCGCTCGATCGATGAACCACTGGCACGCGTCGTTGAAGGGAAATAAACGTTGAACTTGCTTACGAATCTCCAAGATTCCCGGTATCTCGACGATATTCACCTGCGATATAGCGATATCAATAAACCGCGCACGCACGTGCCGTTTTGTAGTTCCGGAGTTGGAGCAACCAACAAGTGCGCCGCACTTGGTGCGCACCTTACCTTTTCCAGCAACTTGTTGTCGAGTCGTAGGCCTCTGAGACGATCCAGCATACCCTGGCCAAACTTTTGCAATCCTGAAAAGGTCCAGTCGGCGGCCAGCTGCGTGCCGTCGAGGATCTCTTCCTCCTCGCCGTGCATTATTATGTTAAAGTACGCCGGGGATGGCTCGGCTCCTACCATAGTCATTTCCATAGCTGACGTTCCGTAATGCTTTTCTGATGAGAATTCTTACAAGCCGTCTAAACGCTACGCACCCTCCCGATTCCCATCCGCAAAAGTCTCTGTTTACTGAACTTTTTAAGAAGCGCGAAAGCCAACCAGGCCCCCCTGGCCCGCCTGGTCTCTCTTTCGTTTACTTTACGTTACGCTTACCTGTCCTCAACGACATCGGCTTGTACTCGATGTCAAGCAGGTAATTGATGATCGACGACTTTCCGCCGCTCCACGGACCCATAAAGAGCACTAGTGGCTTGGAAAATATCTCGGGATCTATCGGCACAGAGAGACAACAAACAAACAACGGTACGGCGGACGTGGCAGATGGAACAGATATAATATCGCACAATTAATTGCACGCGCGATCATAGACGTTACTGATAAAAGAAATACGGCACGGACAAGCCGTACCGTTTAAAAATCCCTACGCTCATCATTCTCGCGCTCGCATTCGCGTCCGCTCACCTCCGAAGTGTCTGTTGCTCAGGTCCCTGTACCTGTACATGGCCTCTAACGGCTGTATAGCGTTGTCGTACAGTCTCTTGAGCTCCCGGAGAATGATATCCGCCACTCTTTGTACGGCTCGCTCCTTCTCCTCGTTTTCCTCGTCCAATTTCAACAGTTGATTAATGTGATCTCTAGGCCGAAGATTCTCCGGTATTTCGATATCCCGAATGAGATCCTCCTCCGGAGTAAACTCCTGTTCTTCCTCGCTAACAGCTGATTACGTGTGAGAAATCTCATTGCAATAATCTCGTTTATCGTTTGTCGTATTGTTGAAAGCAGCTATGCTTCGGCTTGTTATATACCGCATGCGCGGTGCATAACTAGTGCACTTGTGCGACTTTTGTGTGTGTGTGTGTGTGTGTGTGCGTGTGTGTGCGTGTGTGCGTACTCGTATAACGCAAGGGAGTAACATAGAGATACATGATTGTCAAGCAAGCCAAATCAAATGGGATTTTCTTTACCTTCCTCCGTAGACTCGCCAGTTGCTTCAGCGTCTTCCTCATCGCCGACTTCTCGTCTTCCGCGTGACTTGACATCCTGATCCTCTTCTTCGTCAGACTTCCTTCCTCTCCCTCCTTCCTCTTCCTCCGACTTTTCCTCCGTCTTTTCTTTCTCCTTCCTCGCGTCTTCTTCTTCTTCTTCCGCGGATTTCGCTTCGCTCTTCTCCCGATCTTCCTGTTCGACGGATTGCTCACATTCCGCATTATCCTCGCATCTCGTTCCCTCTTCCTCAGATTTCTTCCTCACTTCTTCTTCTTCTTCTTCTTCTTCCTCCCTCTCCTCTTCTTCCTCCTCCGCGGATTTCGTCTCATCCACTGCAGATTTTCCATCTTTCTCTTCCTCGGCAGAAATTGTACCTGCTTCCTTCGTTTCTTCTTCCTCTTCTGTCAACTTTGTACCTTCTTCTGTACTTTCGGGACTCGTTACCTCAATAGTCTCTTCTTCACTTTCTTTTTCCTCCGTTTTACTTACAGCCTCCTCCTCAGCGCTTTCGCCGCTCATCTGTTCTCGATCCTCGGCGGTCGATTCGGCGGCACCCTCTTCGACTTCCTCCTCTTCGTCGCTAACTTCTGCGGATGTTCGTTGAATTTCAGACTCTATCTTATCTTCTTCCTCGGACTCTACTACCGCTTGCTCGCTGATTTCTCTGGATTCCTCCTTTTCCTCATGCTCCTCTTCCTCGCTTTTCGGCTTCTCTGCGGCTTCTTCCTCTTCCACCTCGGATTTTGCTTCGTATACTTTTTCCTCCTCAGACTTTTCGTCTTCTACTATTTTTGCTTCTTCCTCGTCTGAGTTCTCTTCGTCGGACTTTTCATCTTTCTCGTTGGCTGTCGTCTGTTCGGAGCCCTCGTCGCTTTCGGTTACCTTTTCGGGTACCGAGTCGGCATGTTTTTCCACAGTTATCTCGGCGGACGCATCAGTCGCTTCCTCCGTTTCCCCTACGATGTACAGTATTATTTATTTCGAGTGACACACAGTGACTGTATTATATGTGTGTGTGTGTGTGTGTGTGTGTGTGTGTGTGTGCGTGTGTGTGTGTGTGTGTATGTATATACTTCTTACCTTCTTGAGCGGCGCTGACTTCATCACTCTCGATAGTTCTGACTTCGTCGCTTTCTTGTTCATCTTCATCCCTTCCGGATTTGTCTTTTACAATTTCCTCGCTAGTCTCGACTTGTTCTTCAGTCGCTTCCTTACTTTCGCTAGCTGTCTTTTCAACATCGTCTTCCGCGGATTCCTCCTCGTCCTTGACGACCTCGCCTACCTCTTCCGAAGCATCGTTTGCCGATGCTTCGTCAGCTGGCGCCTGTTAAAACGAGGAAAAACAGGTAAAAAAAAAGAAAAAAGAAAGATACTCTCTTTTCCTCAATACACTCTCCGATGTACTCCGGCGCGTACTCTCTGCATCAGTTAGCAGCAGTTAGAATTTTAATACTCGAGCAAGAGCGAGTGTGTATCGTGCATCGTGAGTTACACACAGTGATCGAGCAATGTTCAGGATTGCGGGAAGTGGACGGACGATTTTACCGAGATGTCGATTAGTTTGTATTTGAAATGAAGCCTACAAAGCTGATAAAATTGAATCGGAAAACTCGGAAAATTGGGCAGGCTTGAAATATCGGCTCGACCGACTGTGCTCCGAAAGTCGACGCTTCCCGTCGAACCGTTTCCCGATGAAATGGCCGTCTTTGCGAAAGAAACTCTTTTACCTCTTCACTCGCAGCCTCTGTTTCCTCGTGACTCTCCCGATCGACGACCTCGACTTCAACCTCTGCACTGGTCTGCTCCAGAGATCCTTGAAACGAAATATTGTAGAAATCGCTGTGTTCCAGCCGAATATTCGTCATCGTTCAGTATTCTACCTGTACCGAGGTTCTTGAGCGCCTTTTCTATGTACGGTCGACACAAGTCTTCCGGCGGGATTTGCTCTGGCTCCTCCTCGCACAGGACACCTAGCAGGCAATATTATATTTTGAGTCAACTCGATGACTCGTTGGCGGACACATCTCAGCCGACACAGCTCGGCCGATCGTTCCGCGATATATTCCGCATAACGCGGATGACATTAGTAGAGAGCGGCGGCGGCGGCGGAGGTACGATATCCCGGCCTCGCAGGCCGAGTCTCGCTCACGCCGCGACGAGATATTTACATTGTTCGCGTTTTATCGCGAGTGTCCGCGGCTGCCAGAAATTTTCGGCAGCCGGACACAGCGTTCTTCTCTGGGGCTTTGCGCATCTGCGCGCGCGCGCGCGAGTGTTAACGTGTCCCCGTCCCCGTGCCAAGAGCAACGGCGTGCGAGGCATTAGATAATCCACTGCGCGTTCGCGAAGCATGCGAGCTTGCGCTTTCGATGGCGCAGTGAGTTTAACGCCACGCGACCACCACCCGAAATATCTGTGACCCGAGTGACGCAAGAAGCTGTCAAAGTCACCGTCCCTACGCCCGCGCCGTGTGCGGTGCGCGCGAGTATTCACTTCGCGCGCACACGCGGTGACAGGTGTTCAGGAACACCTAGCGCAATAGCGTGATGTACAGGGACGTGTGCGCGACGTGTCTGATGAAAATTTGCACCGCCGTCGCGACCGCGCGCGCGCGCGCGCATACTTTAAATCGACTCTGTCTCCTTTCTGCCGAATAACACGACCGAGTTTTGTCGAGTACGTTTCAACATGTGTATTCTCTCTTGCGAACAAATGAGAATAAATAACCGAGAATAGTGAAAAAACATAAGACGGCGATTTGCCGAACAACGACAGTAATGTGGACAGTAAACAGTGTCTCGCAAACTTGTTTCTTCGTTTGTTATTAACAGGAATTGAACGTTTATGAGGAAGAAGATGAAAATGTTTTTTTTCCTCCTCCGACATTTTACTAAATTCCTCTCAGGCCGGCAGGCCTGTGTTTGCGCGTTTACCCGCCATGTCATTTCTCCTCCTCGATGCAACGAACATTTCAACTTTCCTTGGAATTTGTTTTTGCGCGAAACCAAAAGCTTTCTCAAATTTTTCTACTTTCAACGCGAAAGGTATGGTGGCGTTTCTATCGAAGAAAATGTCGATATCATCTTTCTAGGTGGTTCTACCTGGGACGCGGCCGGTTTCTAACTTTAGCGGCGGGTAGGCGGCTTTGAGCTGAAAGAAAGAGTGAGAGAGAGAGAGAGAGAGAGAGAGAGAGAGGGAGAGAGACACTTAGAAATATTTATATATTAGCCGAGCGAATTGTATTTTTATCGTCGTCCGTTCAGGAGGGAAAGATACGAGTTGATTGAACTGTCGTTTTCGCCCCAGTTGGTCCAACTTTACTTTAAATTATAATGCCCACCGTTCGTTTGTTGTTGTACCGCATAATGTTATCTATCCTTGTAGCAAACTGAGAGAGAGAGAGAGAGAGAGAGAGAGAGAGAGAGACAAGCGTTTGGAATTGGTGATTATAATTGCACAGTGTGCAGGTTGACACGGTTTACAGTTAGGGGAAATTTTCATTTTCCCCAGCAAGTGTGTATTTATACAGGGTGTTTCAGAAATAAGTGGCCATACTTTAAAAGCATGCTCTACTCACTGCAAGGATGAACAAAAGGTCATATCATATAATAGTTTCTCGCTTAAATAGTTGTTTCGTTTTTTCTCCTCTACCCGCTGCACCCGCGGCGTTTGACGACTGAGAGGTAAAACGTCTCTTAAAATTAGTGATTCGGGGCTAAATGCGGAGAATATATATTCGCGCGTTTCGCCAGCAGCGCGAACGTTGCTCGCTCCGGTATTCGGGGACCGCATGGGGACAGTGGCTGCGTAAAATGATGAACGGTGAAATTGATATCGAGATGCAATGATGCGAGATTCACAAGATCCACGGTTCGACCAGTTCTGTGTTCGAGTTTGGAGCGGTGCAGCGGTGGTTACCTAATTGTCGGATATACACAGAGAGAATCATTGTAGTTTACGAGTTCACGTGATCTTGCGCGCGCAAACGCAATGAGAAATTTCGTCTCGTTTCGTTTTCATCTCGGCGTGGCGTGGCGTGGCGTGGCGTGGCGTGGCGACTGTATCGTATTGTTATATCACATACGGGGCAATATTTGGCACGGAGCTCCGCTTTTGTCGTCATCCGCTCTCGGTATCTTTCCGGAGCATATCTCCGGGGAGTAAACTTCTTGCTGCTTACCCTAGGCCCGAATCCTCCCCTGGTCATCCTCCCCACGAGACATTTTGTTTTGCACGAGCAGGCATGCGCGAGCAAGTAGCGAATCTTTCTTTCGTGTGTATGTAACAATTTTTCTTTTCGATATATGTACGATACGACGCCTATCGTGAAAATCGCTTCGATACTCTTGTCAATGTCGTATTGTCCTCGGTGCTCCTCACTCACTCACTCACTCAGGAGGGCCGATGTGATTCCAGTGCAATGAAATCGATATCACATTTTTTTATTAACTCGTATATAATTACGCATAAACTCGAAATTTCGCGTCACTCGCCGGTCATCTCGAGATAATACGATAATGCGGGATAATTTTTGAGTAACGAGTGATGGAAGGAGGAGCAGCTGTCGCTTGGCAAGAGAGCAGCTGCGCTGGGTAAAGATAGAACTTCGAGTCTTGTTCCATAGTCTACGACTATGTATAGCTTTTTGCTTTGCACTTAGTCATAACGAGGGAGAATTTTTGCGAGATTATTGTCGTGTTGCAAAAGTCGAGATTGATTGACGAACGTCGATACAACAAAATTATTACTAACGCTCTATTAACGCGGCTCGTCACGAGATTCTCTCTTGATTCTCTCATGAAAAATATTTTCTATATATATGTGTGTGTGTGTGTGTGTGTGTGTGTATTTCTTTTGCACCAAAATTTCACTTCGATCGTTTAGCTAGTATGGCACGACACGACACGAAACGAGAAAACTCATACATTTCCCTCATAAAAACTGAACGAAAATTTATGCGCACTACACATTTATTACGAAATTACGATACAATGATCAGTAATAAAACTCTCAAACTTGAGATCCGGCATTATAGATTTTATTTGAAATTATTTGTTACTCTCTCGCGGTTTAAAGTTTAGAACGAATCTGGCACAGATTTATGCCGTTCCTTATGTAATTATGCGCTGGTTGATGATAGCCAACTACCATCGATTCCCGAAATAACAAATCCTTGATTTAGCATTCGCACACTTTTACTTAAAGTGTGAGACGCCGCTTTTGGGTGTTTCTTCGGCCGTCAGCGGCTTTAAATCGGCTAAACTCGATTGCTTGAACGAACCGAACGTCTATTTGCTCGAAACTATACAAAATATCTTGAATTTTCACCTTAAATCGTAAAGGCTTCGACATCATTAGAGCGGTCAGTTTTATCGAGTAATTTCATTAGTATCGAGTAATTTACGAAGCATTGTGCCGAGAAATCTTTCCGACGATTCAGATTTGTCCGAGTTATCATTCGAAATTCATTTCCTCCGTAGGTCCGGAAATCGGAAAGATCGAAAATCGAAAAACAAACACGAATATTGATGAGCGTGATTGTGCCATGTGAAATGAAGGAAATGTGAAAAAGAAAAGTAACGATATTCGACGGTAGATAAATTTTATAGACTAATCAGAGACGATGGCAAATCGAATCGCGCGGATGAAAGGCAAAGATGAAGAGAAGCCTTTACTTTACGTAACATTGACCTTCGTCAGTCGGCGAGTTTTTTCGTCAACTCGTCTCAACTTGTTGACGATATCCACGCGCCCTTCCTCTTCGCTTCGTTGTTTCGTCCAGTTGCGCGCAAACTCTATATTCCCTTTCATCCTCTAGTGAGGAGATCTTGGTATCATTTTACCCCAACTCGAGATCCGATTCTGACCTCCAGGTCCAACAAGCTGTGTTGCGTTGTGTCCTATGTCTGAACTACGATCCAAGGTAGGGCAATGTCGATACATCGATCGGCCACGGTGAGATCACGGTCAATCACGAGCGACGTCATCATTGTCGTGCGATCGCAATTTGGTCGCGCGCGTTGTCGAAAGCCAATAATCCGATCTTTAACGCGCGTCAAATCAAAGTCCATCATGCATGCGGTGGGTGCTGGTCGATTTTACTGACCTTGTAAGGCGACAGCCAGAAGGCTCAGGAGAAGGCCCGCGACTAGCGCGGATCTCATTCGCGCAATCGTCATCGTCTCGTATCACTAGACACACCACACAATCAGCGCGCGGCCAGCGGCTGATATAGCAGCTAGCTTGTCTCTCACTTCTCGATCCCGTCGTCGCCCTCGACTCCAACTAGCCCGCGAGAAACTGGCATTGTCACTACCGCCAAACCTCGAGATTTTGCTCCTCTCTACCTCCTCCTCCTCCTCCTCATCCTCCTCCTCTTCCCCCCTCCCCCCCATCCTCCTCCTCCTTCTCGTTGCTTCTTCTTACCCCACGGACAGAGACGACGAGCGTCGTGGTATGGCAGGTCTCACTGCCGACTTCTTTTTCTTCCTAGCTCTAGCGGAAGGGTGTTTATCACACCCTCTCCTGTTCTTCTTGCGCTCTTTCGACGCACAGCCGATCAACAATCGGAAGTGATCTTCGGGCGCCATATCCGAGCGCCGCTCTTCTTTGCGTTTATTCTTTGGTTCCGGCGCTCTTTGCTCTTTGCGCGAGCGGCTGCCCCTCAAGTAGCGTCCCACAATGTACTTGTGATTCGCGCCGCCTGTCTCGCGACTGACGATGAGTCGCCCTTCGATCTATGAGACCTCTTTCCCTACCATCGGACAGATCGTGTATCGTATCGTAGATACGCAAAGATACGTGTAATTTGTTCGATATTGAGCAAAGAGAAGAGACAAGATCGGTCTCTCTCTCTCTCTCTCTCTCTCTCTCTCTCCTCGTTCGTACGCGAGCAGAGCGCGCGAGTAGCTCTTATTTTTATAACGATTACGGAGGCGCGACGTAGATCAAGGTCGTCAGTTTGACGCGGATATGAGAACCACGATCGAAATAGTTTCGATGTAACATATATCCAGTGCAATGGGTCCGTGATACGTTCCACTTGAACATGTACATTGAAACGACAGATCCTGCTCGGCTTCAGCCATCAATTTGCCATCGGATTCTGTATTTGTATTTCTGCTAGAAGTAGAGACTGTTGAGAGTTTGCCGTAAACACACTGTGCAAAATCTGCTTTCGCAGGTTTTGCTATCTGGATATAGATTGCAAATTTGTGATTTACCACCACTCCTTCACTCTACCGAGGACCCAAGGTTTCTATAATTGATTAATTAACGAGTTGTTTATTGCCTCTCTTTCTCTCTCTCTCTCTCTCTCTCTCTCTCTCTCTCTCTCTCTCTCTGTTGTTTGCAACAGAAAAATCCCATGCATCTGCAGGTCGAATTTACCTCTTATTGTGGATTGTATTGGATTGTGATTTTTTTTTATTTTCTTCGAATTGGAATATCACTGCTTGATACATTATTTCTCGTGTCGTTATAGCGTTGACTGTCTCAGCAAATCTCGAGCTGTATCGTTCGACATTCAAAATAAAAATTTCTTTCGGCGCAAGAGTTTTATCAAATAACGGAACGCTGACACTGACTGTTCCAAGAAATCCTACGTGGACTGCCGCTGTCGCTGTTATGATATATATATATATATATACACACATCATTGTTATTACCAATTTCATCTTATCTCGTGAAACGTATCCTCGTGATTCCCATCTAATTCATCTAATGCTTCTTATTTATGACGGAAGAATGTCATCGTCTATATTTTTTACTGTTACTGCGCTTTCTATCGTTTACTACTGAACAATGTCTGGTTGGTCGCGTGCCGGAACGTTCAAAGCTGTTCTCGATGCACAATGTAATATGACTTGACTTTCTAATTGGTTGGTTATACAAACATGGTAGAAAGATACTGTTGCGTTGTTACTGATGATTAACGTGACACACGGTTGAGAAGGAAAGAGAGAGGAAAGATATGAGGTATATCGTGCGAGGTATATCGTGCGCACAGACGCAAAGGAGCATCAGAACCGCGGGCGCCTTTATATTTAGAAGCCTGGGTCGCGCCCGTATAAGGTGGCTCGCCGTGCAAAAGTGTTCTCTCTTTTCCCCTCCTTCCCACCCCTCTCTCCCCCCTCCTCTCTCTCTCTCACTCTCTCTCTCTCTCTCTCCTTTTCTATGTATCTATTATTACTAATATATACATACACATATACACACACACAGTTGATAATACAATTATATGTATATATTAATACTTGCTTCAACATTTAATATATTTGTTACATGAACGCATCTGTATCTAGAGGTTAACATTATACCCTAGATAAATGTAGTTTTGAATCAAGTCTCGTATAACATTTCCCATTGATCATTTGTTTCGGTAAAAGGAAGCAGTATTGCAGCAGCTTTATTTATTCATACACTCTGAAAGTTCGATGCATATTTTATTATTAAAATTTTTCCATTATATGTAACGTATGCGTTACACGTTTTTCTAGGATTATGGACGATTCGGATCGAAACGGATCGCTCTGCAACCTATAATAAATTCGTGGATTGTACGTGATCTGCGATGTACGTTAGCCAGACATTTTTCACGTCATTATAATTTAAAATTTGGACAGGTTCCTAAAGAACGCGTTGATCACTCACTCTCTCGCAAAGATTGTGAGGGGATGCCCTATTTATATTCATCTATATTTAGATCGAACCATGCACATATGGTGCTCACACTATCAAATTCATCACAACTATATCTGCAACATGTCAATTACAGTCTGCATTTAATTTGCGACTGCCTTTTAATTTCTACCTTTTTCGTGGGCTTTAATTAACCCTGACTCTGCGTACGTTATTGTTATGTCAGTCTTGCATTTTTGTAATATAACACATATTATTTGTGTCGCTGCTTTATGTTAATATTATATATCTTTTCAGATTTTATTCTATAACGTTTTTAAACTTTTCCGAAAAGTTCTACATATTCGACGTATAATTTCAAGCGTATAGCAAATATTACCGTCGCGGGCAAAATGTCTGGGTAATATATTTTACGCAAACACTTCACTGTTCAGGCCCGGAAGATAGAGGAACACAAAAGAAAGAAAGAAAGAAGGATGCAAGAGAAATTGGAACGTGATAGGCAGGAAAAATTGCGAAAGGCCCGAGAGGCTGCTAAGGCGCGCGAGGAAAATACGCGAACCTCTCAAACGGATGCGGGAGGCGCGTCCCCTGGTATGGGAGATTTTTATCAGTTTCTCAACGATCCTGAGGTCCTTCAAGCCTTCCAGGTAAGTGCGAATACAGCGCGAAAGCGGGTCCATTTCTATTTCTAAAACGTAAAACAATAGCAGCGGATCGCGCGAGGCTGCTCGGTCGAAGCTGTTGGAATGAGTTACACAGTGTTCGCGTGCACTGTGATGGGCGACATGATCTCTCTCTCTCTCTCTCTTTCTCTCTCTCTCTCTCTCTCTCTCTCTCTCTCTCTCTCTCTCTCTCTCTCTCACCTTCTCGTGTAAACTTGCAGGACCCGGAAGTGGCGGAAGCTTTCAAAGAGATCTCCGCGAATCCGACCAACATCCTCAAATATCAGAGTAATCCCAAGATAATGGCCCTTATTAACAAGATGGCTTCGAAATTCGGCGGTGCCGGCGGTATGCCTGGCGGTATGCCTGGCGGTTTTCCCGGAATGATGGGCGGTATGCCCGGTTTTCCTGGTGCCGGGGCAGGACGGCCGAACCCTCCGAAACCGACTCCTCCTCAGGACGATGTCGGTCTCGACTAATCGCGATACAATCGTTCCATTCGTCTCGGGAGAACCTCTTCTGGTTCTTTTGGCAACCTTTTGTGCGGAGTATGTACATCTTAATTGTTTGATTTTTTAAAGGTCGAGTTGTTTTCTCCTCCTCCTGCTCCTCCCCCTCTCTCTCTCTCCCTCTCTTTCTCTCTCTCTCTCTCTCTCTCTCCCTCTCCCTCCCTCCCTCCCTCCCTCCCTCCCTCCCTCCCTCCCTCCCTCCCACCCTCCCATCCTCCCTCTCTCTCTCTCTCTCTCTCTCTCTCTCTCTCTCTCTCTCTCTCTCTCTCTCTCTCTCTCTCTCTCTCTTTCTTTCTTTCCTTCTTTGCCGATTAAATACAAGGACTTGTGAATTGTAAGGTGCGTCGCGGTAGAGTCCGAAAGAACAGTTACTTTTTCTGTTTCAATTTCTTTGGATAATCTTTAGCTGGACATTAATCTGCTTACGCATAGATTATTCGTCTTGAAGATTCTTCGACAACACTGTTCCTTCATCTTATTGCTTGCAATTTGTGTAAGATGCGCTGAGAATGAACGCATCTTAATCAGGGTTAATGAAGAATTTCTGCTTCACTTTTCAAAGCTGGCGTCTTTAAAAAGCGCTACTGTTTGTTTATATTATCTTCACTATATATATAGAGAAATGAATAAACAAACACACACACACACATACACACACACACATACACACGCAAACAAATAGTATATCAGTGATATGTATGTATCTCAAAGAAAACTTTTATTGTAAATCAATATAGTTTGTTATACATTATATAGAATGCTACTTGTTTTATAAAGAGACGGGCTCCGTTGTGTGAATTACCGCTTTACTACCTAATGTCCCCACATGCACATTGGTCGTATCCCGTCGTATTGTTAATCAAGAGGTTTTCGAGCAGAAATATTATCATTATTTTTGAGATAGTGCCATAAGTTTGTCCGATTTATAAAATCATACAACAGATTGCGTGTCGATGATCCATATAACGGATGTAAGTATTCTTTTTCAATTCAATGCCATTTTATAATCGGCGACATTTTTACTTCCGATACTTATCTTGTACATTACATTAGCGTCTCAGTGTAATCTAAGTATAATCGATATGGCCTCACAGATGCTGAGTTTGTCAGCTATGAGACTCAAGAAGTGAATCGTTTCGTAGAAACAGTTTAAACGTTTTCACATTTATCGAGATACACGTTATATTTAACTTGATCATGTTGCGATTGATTATTTTTATGTCGTTTAAAGCATCTTACTGTAAGATGAGGCAAACGTGAATTGATTCAATATTTCTAGAATAATTCTTTCTTTTCAAAACAGGCATTTTGCATGGCAATTTTCCACAATGAACTTTTCGTCCAAGGGATGCAATATAGTTTCATTCTGAGATGGATATAAACTGCCACGTTGAGTATTAATAAGATATTCGAATAATATTCGATCTAACATTCTACGGGACAGTAACAGAACGATAAGCATTTTATTAAAACTTGCGAATAAAATCTATAAATTAAGCATTAATCACCGAGTTCACCTTATCTATAAAATATCAACATTGTTAAAGGCTCAGCGTGCTTTTTTATCCATAATATCGTAAATAATGGTTGTTTCACGGATGGAAAGATGGTCGTGAATTAATGAAGAAATTTAATCTTAAGCAATGTAGCCTTTAGGAAATTTGGAAAATTACTCCGCGATTGCATGTTATCATCAACAGTTTATAATGAGTTTATAAATGTCGGTGAAGGAAATTCTTATTAAGCAATTTTCTTTCTTGTCGAAAATCATCTCAATAAACAAAGTTGTTTCCGAGCTGTTTCGTTATGCCTCATCCCCCTAGATCCGTATAAAATATTTGCAATAAATATGTACAAAAATATATGCTCACGTGTATTGATTATAAGAAACATTCACGCTGTCTCTCTCTCTCTCTCTCTCTCTCTCTCTCTCTCTCTCTCTCTCTTTCGCTCTCGCTCGCTCTCTGCATTAATCGTTATAGATATAGAGCATTGCATCGTTACTCGCGCGAAACACGATGCAATCCCGATGGCTCTCGCGCTAGCGACGACGGAACCATCGCAACGTCGTCGTCGGCGTACGGCGACGGATGCGTTTACGGATCATTTTGTACGCGATATAACATAAAACTTAGAACTAGAAATATTGCACGTAAAATTGGACACAGTGTCTCCTGCGTATCTCTAGACATGGTGAAAAGAGCACTTTGCCTCGGGTACGAAATTATTGAGTTGAAATTGTTTCGCGGCGGTCGAAGCCGAGCTGTAATTATTATTACGAAGACGAAGATAATCCGTCGTATTCGCAGAGGCAAATGAACAACATAGCACATCACGTCTGTGTGAAATAACTTGTAGTTTTTGCAACTGCAAACGCAATTTCTGGATAGTTAACTTTATTATACAGTATAATGGTATGAAATCGTCGTATAATTTCTAATACGAACACGTCTTGCTCATTCGCTGCTACGTTTTGCAACGATATAGTTCCCGAATCCCGAAATTGCGCATAATTTCAAGATTTCATCCGAAAGATCAAAATGTCGTTCACATGTACCTTAAAGCCTTAAAGCGTTATTCGAGACTTGGCTTTTCTCACTTTGCTTCCAATCATGGTTTTCATCGTAGTTGCATATAGTGATAGCGTCAGCTACTACATCTACTACGTTCTTCTGATCTTGAGCATGTGCAAGTTGGGGTGCCATGGCACTTTTCTGAAGGTCGACGCTCCTGTTTCCTCGGGCGACGGATCCTCTTCATTGGCTTCGTCTATTGATGCGCGCATTAGATCAGCGCCGGCACTGCTGAGTATTCTTCGATGTTTGCTCGTCGCGTCGTCGAGAGTACCGACGTTACATCTACCAGCACCGGGGTCACTCAGTACTCGACGATGTCTCGTCTGGTGACAATGACTGTGATGGTGGAATTGCTGCTGCTGCTGCTGTTGTTGACGATGATGATGACGATGCTGCTGTTGCTGCTGCCGCTGATGATGATGATGATGATGATGATGATGATGATGATGATGATAGTGACAGTCATCACAATGTCGCTGCTGCCCACATAGAGACGTCTCGCACTTGAAACTCGGCAGAGGTGCAGGAAAAACGGGATCTGGGTCTAGGTACAGCCAGCTGGCGCTGTCCACATAAGGAAGAAGATGCACCGCGTCCAGTGACAGTGAATGCGGATACAGCAGCCGCTTGCGAGCAGCGGTGTATTTCTTGTTCAGCGGCGATTCAAGCACCAATCTCCCGGAAAGGGGAGAATCTTGCGAGCCAGGATGTGGTCTAGTTTGGTGAGGTTTATTCATCAATTTACAAACGCACAATGACGCAAAACAGTATCAAGAAATCAAGTTGTATTATTTGAATATGATCGTGGCTGTTATGTATGTTTGTGACAAGAAAGATCTTTCGCTCGTAATTCGCTCGTAATTTGAGACGTTATTTAATTATATATTAAATTCAGCGCAAAACTATCAGCTTTGGTCTGAAAATTTCACGAGATGTGGACGTCTTTTTATTGTACTGCTGCACATTGAGTTATCTCAAAAGGAGTAAGGAATTTCCATAAGGAGAGAGATTATAGGAGAAGTGGTGGTGGTGGTTAGTAGTGGTTATAAGCGTAGTAGTTGTAAGGTAAGGTAAGGTAAGTCGCTCTCCAACAAACCTGTGCAAAGGTCGACGGGAGATTCCGCGTTGTCAGTTGAGAGGGTGCTCTCCCCTCGGCATTCTATAGCATTTATTCCACGCCTCCAGCAGCAGCACGCAACTGTGGAACCTGTAGAATATAAGCAGAGGCAAGCCGATTCTGGACAGTACGCCCCAGGCGAGCACACCGAAGAACCGGAGTTGCAGCTCCTGCGACAGCCAGTTCTGCGTAATGACCGTGTCGAAGGCCCAGAGAACGGCGTTGCTAAATAGCAGGAAGGTTATGACCTGACGGCCCGGCTTCGCCAGCATTTGGAAGCGCGTGATGCACGAACGTCGCGATGTCTCGGCGATCAGCGTGCTCTGCGCGAAGCATTGCACCAGCTGCAGAATCGACGTGGACAGCAGCATGATGTGCCTCGCCCGAGCATCCTCGCTCTCGCCGTCGTCCGATATCGCGAGGGAACAGCCGCACACCACGACGGTGAATACGGAGTACAGTTGCACACCGAAGAGTGAGACGTTCGACAGGAGATTGTCCAGAGCGACCGGCGCTCTCGTCACCACCGAGATCTGGCGCACCTGCACGAGGCCGCTGGCGGTCATCAGACTGCTCAGCGTCAGTATGCCGATCAGAGTGCCGCAGGTGAGCCAGGACAGGGTGGCCGACGGGAAATTCTCATCCTCCCGCACGACCAGGAAGATGAGGATCACCACGATGCCGGCGACCATACACAGGATACCCAGAAACAGACCCTTGCTGGAGCCGTCGCAGCCTATTCGGCCGTGACCGCTCAGATCCTTGCTGCCGTGGAACTTTTGCTTGACCAGTCGATTCCGACCGACATTCTGGCCCATCACGAAGGTCACCGCCGCGGCGATCAGACTGGAAGATTGGATCGGTCGGATGATTGAGCCGAGATGGATGAGTCGTTGGTGACTCACCGAGCTTGGTGAAAGCGAGCAGATGAAAGCGAGTGATGAAACGTAACGTACCTGAATTGGACGATAAAGGGATAAAGAAAGGGCATGCTCGAAGTCCACAATTGTCCCAAGGTGTTGGTGTTCAAGCACTCTTGCAACGCGATCACTTGAGAGATCTGTTCGCTCGAGACGGCTTGATAAGGTTTGAAGGTGCTGCTCGCCCTCGTCGTGGAAGCTTCTGAAACGAAGCGGAGGTGGAAGTGAGGTTGCTCCTTTTCCTTCAAGTTTTATTCAATATATCGGGAGATATCGGGAGAAGTGTGCTGCGTGTGAGGCGTGTGAAGGCGGAAAGCGAATGCGCATTATACGCACCTATAAGATCTCGCGACTGTCTGGTCAAGGATCCCGGAAATCCTCGCAGATTCAGCGGCGACACGGACGTCCCCTGCTCGTGCTGCGCCAAATGCACAAAGTAAGTCCATTCTTGCGCAGAGTCCCATATCACCAGACGCGTCCAGACCGCGATATTCGTGGCTGCGAGATGTGTGAAGCCGAATCTGGCTGCTAGACCAAAGCGTTCTACAAGTACCTGCGGAAGCGAAAATGAGAAGAAAATCATTTCCTTTTGAAATTGAGATCGGTCGGATGATCATTTCCAGCGGAAAAATCACGAGTCAATTTCTAAAAACGGGGATCTGTTAGATCGGGAATTCTGTTTTCGTATCGTTGTCTTTCCGACAAAGCTTGAAGGGAAGAAGTTTTTCTATCACATAAGAGAAACCATAAGGGAACCATCGACGAACGAAACGAAAATCATCATCACGCGTGACGCGACAAGTCGACTCCACGTACAACTTCATCTCTGATCTGTGATGAGAGATGTCCGTAGTGTCGCGGTAGTATCGCGGGCGTTTTGCATGGCTGTGCTTTGCGGGCCGCTTTGTGTACCGCTGTACCGTGTTCGATCATCAGACAGAAGCGTCCGAGCGTAAAAGAGCGAAGAAACACGCGTTCGCGCCTATCGACGTCCCTATTGACGTGCCTGCGTGCACAGGCCTGTGCCGTGGGACGTGCCATAGTCTGTTGCTGAACGCAAACGGAAAACAGAAACGCAACGAACGCGATAAGAACAAAACTGATTCGCTCGCCTGCGAGTTTACGAAGAGAAAGTGCATCTGCAAGAAGGTGAACAGCCCGTGCAGCACCGGGTGCACAAAGACGACGTCGGTCAAGCATTCGGCACCCTGCATCATCGAGTGCATCGCCATCTCCAGACCGTTGAAGACCAGAGTCGCCAGGCCAAACACTGAAACATCGAAACGCGCCGCCGCCGCCGCCGCCGCCGCGCCAAGTCTGAGGAAACGAGGATTTGGAAAGCAGCGAGACGAGAGACGAGAGAGCGCTGCGATGCGTCGCGTCGCGTTCTGCACTCGCACACTGTTACTTTCATCATCATCGACAAAGTTCTGTTTCCGTTATGAATGAAGAATATAAATCATTTCTTCAGCGTATTCACATATGAGGTCACGAAACGAGGTCGCGAGGTTTTTCTCAAAGGACGATACGTATATTTATAGTAAAACTCACGGTGAAATTCAGCTTAGTTCTAGATAGACTCGACCTCAATGACATTTCGGATAATTTTCTCTATCCGATCATCACTCGCACCCTCTCTCTCTCTCTCTCCAGTCAAGGCGGATCGCAAGTTGGCGCGGTGAACTTACGAAGAGCGCCGACGCGTATGTAAAAACTGGTCGGTGCGGTCCTGGCCCTTGAGATGTGCGCTCGTTTTAACGAGCCAAACCTGGTAAGCGACGCGCCGCCGAGTTCCGCATCACCGAGCCCGTTACCACTTCGGCTTAAACTGCCGCAACTATCAACCAGTACCCATATGTAGATGCCGATGATGACGGCGATGCTGCCCACGTAGAGGTACATGAGGAAGACGCCCTGAAATTACGCGATTACGCCACTCTCTCTCTCTCTCTCTCTCTCTCTCGCGTGCGCGTTCCTTGGCTCCGGCTAAAAGCGGATTCTTCTTCTTTTATAAGAATCGAGCGGAATTTTAAAGCTCGACTTGGAGCTGAGAACCGAGCGCGATAAATGAATCTAAGACTAAAGTTTTACTTCAAAAGTTAAACGGCGCGCTTCGTCTTGCCTGCTTCTTCGATCGCTTTAATAAGTAATTCACGAGTCTTCGAGTCTCTCTCGAGTTCAAATCAAAGTTGTCCGCGGTACGCGTTCCGCGTTCAGATAGCACGAAGGTAACGGAAGGTATTGATAATCCAAAGTCCGACTGTGTGATTATTCTCAAGACCTGACTGCATATCAGGTAAAATCATAAAACCCAAACAGACAACTTGGGTCGCGATGAAGCGGATGCTGTCAGCTAAACTGGTTGCTACCTACTTGCAAGCTGAGCAAGGGCACCGGTGTGTCCATGACCTCGGCCAAACATAATGCCATCGTTAGCACGACGATAAGCTCGCCGTACACGTTCGAGAGAACCACCCATAATTGCGAGCTGCAAAAAGTCAACGACAGAGACAAATTGTGATTGGTGCTTGCCTCTCTTGGTTTACGTTCGTATTGTCCAGCTTGAGACGTTCTACGCGCGCCTGCATCATTCACACATTCGTGTGTGTGTGTGTGTGTGTGTGTGTGTGTGTGTGTGTGTGTGTGTGTGACTCGACTCACTCGCTAACCGATTTCTTTTTTCGTTTCATTCAATTTCAACATTCATTTATTCATTTTCGCCTGTTTCACTAGACTCTTTTCATCGCGATGCGAGCGCAAAACGGCGCAAACCGTCGAAACCGAGATCTTACTAAGGTTCCGAATGATCCAGCAAATCGTCGGGAGATCGCGTTCTCGCCAAGATCCTCGAGACCAAGGACCTCGCTGGTTGCGCCGAATTGCTGGTGGATGCCTGCGCGGCCGGTTGCTCTTTATCCTTGTTGCTCCTGTCCTGGCCCCTGTCCTGGCCCCTGTTAGGGGCACCACCCGGTACGCCCTCCACGGTGCCACCCGTTGTACTTCCGGTCTCGTTCAGGCTGTCCTTGTCGTGCTGTTCATTGCCCGCTGCGAGAGAGAGAGACAGAAAGAAGGATCGGAGAGTGAGAGAAGCGCGCGTGTGTTGTGTGGTACGCAGTACCACCGGAAAAGTGGAACCCCCCCCGTTCTTCTTGCTACTTTCTTTGGCCTGCCGGGTCGTCGGAGAAATGTATGTAACTTTCGCTGAAAGAATTTATACGTTTATTTCTGCGGGATCCGCACGCACGCGCGCGTGCGCGCGCGCAAATACCGCCCGCGGCAGGATTCTCTGGCTCACATCTGTTGCTCGCGTAAACGACGAGCTCGAGGCGAGCTCGAGTCGTCGCGTTCGGCATATGCTGTCCCTCGCGAGTCCATCGCGGATCTTGTCGCGCGTCGGTTATTCTCAAAAACCGCTCTACGCGGTTAGATATCGCTACATTGAATTTCCAGCAGTAACGGCCAGCAGGAGATAAGATCTTAAAGCCCGGCAGTTAAAGCTAAACCAGTCGAACATTGCTCCTTCTAGCGCGAGTCGCCGCGACGCGACGCGACGTAACGGCGTAACGCCGCGCGTCGCGTCGCGTCGCGTCGCGGTCGTGACAGTCTGTCCGTTCGACGACCGATGGATCGATCTTAGGAAGAAGCGAATAAGGCGCGAGCATATCAACTGTGCGCTGTCCCTCGCGCGAGCATCACGATCAATTGCATCGATGCGGCTGCAGGACTCTTGCAGGGGTTGTAAAAGCCGCTAGAGCCGCCGCGCCGCGATCATTCGCTTGTTCCGCCGCCGCCGCCGCCGCCGCCGCCGCCGCCGTTGCATGACGCTTCTTCTAGTAAAAGTTCGGTTCTCCGGCGCGTTAAATAGCTGACAATTATAGCGAGTGTAATGCGAGTGTAAAATTAAAATGCGACGGCGAAACCCCAAAGTTTCGCCGTCGGCCGACTTTGTTTGTTTTTCATCAAGCTCGTGCGGCGTTAATGTTGCCGTCTACGCACTTGTGATGGCGCGTTCAAGCGTCGGTCAACCGGTCGGTGGCGACCGTGGCGTATTAATTATTAATTATACGTACTCTATTGATCGAATAGTCGCGATCGTATTCGCGACTCTCGATCGCAAGGAGCCGATCGTAATGTACCACCGTGTGTGTTCAATCATCATCATCATTCTTACATCCAATTACCTCCATATTCCTCTATGTACCTGTGGTACATTTAGTTAGACGGTAAATTTAGTTACGTTCCGTCGTACCGCTGACTTCAATCCTACCGCTCGACCGTTCCATCCATTTCGGATTAATTAGCACCTTTCATTCACGTTCTTCTGTACTCGTTCTGTAATCGTTTTCTTATACCTCCTCTTTCAGCAATACCTCAGAATGAAATTTCGTTTGTTTATTCAAGTACATAAAGCGTCTGTAGGACTGAATTATCTTTCATTAACCTTCATTTTTCTTGTATTGTCCCTTGTATTGTAAGTCTTGTGTACTCGTATTTCACGATAGATGCATAAGTAGTGTTCAGAAACCTATTTTAGAAATTCGGTAAGGTCGAACAATTAATCGAATCGCAGAATCATATTTTTTGAACACGATATGCATATCTTTTATATAACTATAACAAGTCTGTTTCGAGGCAACGCTAAGCGAATGTCAAACGCGAGACGAATGTCAATTTTCTTGTTTTCAGGAATTCATTCCTTCCCCGAGCTCGGACTCGAATATTACATATATATTTAGAATCAGAATTAAAGATAAAAGGTGTGAAGTTTTACAAAACAAGGTAACATTTTGAAAATTTCATAACTCGATACTCCCACGATGAGAGAGGCGATAAAACGATTTTAATTATGAAAACTGCCCTGAAACTGAAGGGTGAAAAGGTATTTAATTATCTTTTAACATATCGAATATCTCACGATGAGAGAAAACTTTGTTTATTACATAACTGAAAATTCCTCTTATTCGAACTCCTACGTATAAGAGAGGAGAAAGTTGTTCCTTTCAGAATGAATGTATTCATCAGAAGGACTATTTATTAATTCTTTTCTTAATTTCAGATCTTAATCCAAATCTAGAACTTGACCAAGACATAGAAAGATTCTATTCATCCCTAATTCCTGGATTCCTAGACTATCCAGACTGAATTTGAGAGACTTCTCTTATAGCTGAACCCATCATAAAATTCAAAAGGATCTACTATTTCATCGGATGATATCAAGACCTTAAAATTCAGATAAATATTAATTTTTTCTATAATTACAAGAGTAACTCTATTTTGTTTTAGTTTAATACTGTTCCTTCTTATTGAGTTCTTTTTTCTTTTATTTTTCCAATTTTAAAGAATTAAAAGAATTAAAGTTTTTCTAAAAGCGTGAACCAGAGAGATTTAATTTAAAACAAGTAGATATGTAGATAGATAGATAGATAGGTAGGTAGGTAGGTAGATACTGTCCTGAATGAATCTCAGGGAATTGCGTGATATTATTCTCTCGATCGACGATTTGAAAGGAATCGCTTCCATGCAAAACGTAACGTAGAGTTGCTCGAGAAAGCGACGCACCGAGGATGAATTTTAAGCGACTCGGTCCATTTTTGACGACCTATTTACGCGATCGATATCGGCGATCGGTGATATAGTGATCCGTAACGAACAGGACATTGCAATGATGGGGACGTGTAAGTGGCGGTTGTACGCGAAAATGGTTAATAAGCTTTTTCATTCGTTCCGTTACTTTACCGAGCACATATACAGAGTTGTGATGCGCGCTTTCCACTAGTGCTAAAATCGACCTTCTCATCCGTTTCGCGCGATGCGCGATGCGCGCGCGACAATTTTAAAAGTCACGAGTCAAAAGGCAAGGTGCGCGCGCGCGACAGCTGGCGTACATTGCTCGCCGTGATTAACGAAGCTTGAAGATTATATTGTGGGTCTTGGAACGCGCACGCGCGCGCGCGCGCAAGAGACATGTGTTTGATCGAGGATGACGCGACGACGGGAGCCACTACAAAGGACTACCGCGGATTGAAGAGGTGAAAGGTTCTCGCACGGAGAACCGCGTCGACTGAGAGGACCCTTTCGACTCGTGAACGTCGTACTCGACTCGAAATGCCTTGCGGTAAATGCGGGAGCATTGTACCTGTGGTTTGTCGACGTTGTCGACGACGACGACGCGGACGAAGGTATACTAAAAATTATTTGTACGTTAATAAAGCTTGGTTACAAGTTGTCAAATGAATTCACTTTTAATTCACGGTTAATTAGTAATGCGCGCGCGTGCGACATACATGCACCTTTTTCCTTCTTCCACACGACAGGAAACGCCGACAGAAGGCAGCCTTCTGTTCGGCACGGTATGGCCGTATAGACAACAAATTAATCTAATTTCCCCGTTCTGCCGTTCTCACCTTTTTTCGCACCTGACAGATTGCGAGCTGATTGCAGAAGCATTCCCCGTACGAAAGTCCGCCATTTTTATTCAATCTTTTCGAGATCATTTGTCCGATCCGCGACAGAGTCAACAGATTGTAATCATGGAATGAGATACTATTTTAAATAGCACTTGCATAAAAAATGAAAGCAATTGCAAATACTCTTTTGTTGTACAATACTTTTTTATATTTTTTACGCTTATGTGTTTCGCGGTTGGACGTTAAGGTAAGGTAGCTGAATGAATTGCTTACGTGTTTTGATGCGCGTGATGCGATGAAAGATTGCAATCTCAATTTCGAGGATACGAGAATTCGAGGGTTTGCAGAGGAGAGCAGAGAAAATTTATGCGAACATGTGACCGTTTAAAATTCTCCTTCAACCGACTTGACATCGACTTCGAGGTCGTTGAGGTCGCAGGGTTTCCGCAGATTTTCTCGAGGTTTCGAGAGAGTAACGAGAAACCAATGCGCCTAGGTTAGATTAGCAGACTCGCAGACCTCGTAGTCCTGATCCTATAATTAAGAATATAATTTTTCGAATGTCTTCCAACAGACAGAATAGAAAATTCCGCCCGTCGCGTAAATTATCGTTTAAAAAGGGCCTGATCAGAAGTTATAAGACGCGATCGAGTGATCAGATACCTGCGTTTGCGAATGGTTGAGGCGTTACTTACTACGGTATACCGGCATGCACGCGCATCGTTATTTAAAAAAACACAGAAGAAAGAGAGATCGCGTGCGAGCGCCAAATACGTCGAAATTATTCCATCTCCATCTCCGTTGTTGTGAAATAAAAGGAGAATTCTTTTGCAGGAGATCGTTCGCCACATGAGTCAGCCAAAGCTCCCGGTTATTGCCGGATTGCCATTGTTGCGATTGCAGTCGAAACAATCGAGTCTTAGTTTCCGTCTTAGCTATATACACGAATTTACCTGATGATGTGTCGTAACGCTTCAACGCTGTGACGTTGGGTCGCCGTCTATCGCTAGCTTTCGCGCGAGAACGCTGTAACGGCGGATGACGGATGTGGACGAAGCGCGTACGTAACGATAACGCGCAGCACCAAGTGGCGCGCGCGCGCGCGCGGCTAACTCGACTCGCGGCTCGCGGCGCTCTCGAAGGAGCATCGACTTCTCTTCTTCTCCTTCGGGGATATCGAACGGCGAGTGGAGGTAGAGTGGTGGCAATGAGATGAGATGGCTAAGATGATGACCGGTGATGATATGCGGTTTTCTCGTAGCCTCGTTTCCAACATCCGTCAATCGAACGAGCGAGCGAGCGGGTTGTTTTTCGGGTTACCTTTCGTCTTACCGCCTCCTCAGTCCACCTGAAGCGCACCTACAGGGTCGATCCTCCTACAGGGCGATCATCGTCGCATCGTCGAAATTGGAAACGGACCAGATTCCGCTAGAGATTCCGCAGATTCTGGCTTTTATCACTTTTATCTGGCTGTCGCGCGCGCGATTCGAGACGCTCGGATATTTCGAGCAATTTGACTCGCGAGGATTTGAAAGACGCGATAAAACGACGCCGAGCGAAAGAAAAAGGAAGAAGGGGGGAGGGGGGCGCCGAAGGGATCGCGCTAGCATCAAACTTGTAGACTGCAGCAACGACTCG